ATCAAACAAGAGCTTGAATCTTAAGAGGTTAACGTTGTAGACAGAAAGGCACGTGCCAGTTGTTTCTCATCTTCATCAACTTTTTTTCTTTGAGCTAAAATAGTACCAATGAATTCACATATGTCCTCCTCCTCCTCCTCCTCCTCCTCCGTCCTCCTCCAGGCTGACAAAAGGCCTCGGCCAGCTCACAGATGGCACTTGGGGTCTGGACGACTTTCTCCACAGCCACATCTACGGCATGTGGCCCGGATACGACTACGTGGGCTGGAGCAACAAGAGCTTCCCCAAAGGTTACGTGGAGATGATCTTCGAGTTCGACCACGTCCGAAACTTCACGTCCATGAAGGTAGGAAGCCAGCGCAGGCACAGACCTCAGTGAGAAAGTGGAACAATTCTAAAAGCGCTGAGTGAACACTGCTGAGCGGAGCTGCGCTGAGCCACGCTGGGCACACACCCATCTTTTATAGCTGCTGCAAATTTTTATTGGGACATAAAATTTTTAAAAAATGGATGCTGAATAGCCGTGCAGTGTGAAAATTACATTTTCTGTATAATTAGTCTATTTGTCATGGATAAGTGCTGTGGCCAGAGATCAGAGATGGTGGATGAGTGTTTTCCAGCACAGCAGGATAGATTAGTCATCGCTACACCTGCTCCTGCATCTTCTTCCCCTTCAGGCTCTGGCTGTTTAGAGCGCTTGTTAGTTAAAAAAATAAGAAATGCATGCACCTCAAAGGCTGCAATACAACACGTGACCATTTGCAAGACGTCTTAGCTGTCAAATTCCTCTTCCAGGTTCACTGCAGCAACATGTTCGGCCGAGGAGTGCGGATGTTCAGACAGGTCACTTGTTACTTCCGGTCGGGACCAGACTGGGAGTCCGACCCGGTGACCTTCAGGCCTGCTGTCGACCGCGCCGGCCAAACCTCCCGCTTTGTCAACGTGCCCCTCGGGGATCGCACAGCCAGCGCCATCAAATGCCGTTTCCACTTCGGTGACCTTTGGATGCTGTTCAGCGAGGTGGCCTTCCAGTCAGGTAGCAACAGAGGAGCCTCGTTAGAAGCTTTGATTCTATCATGCAAGTTTATTGGAGTCTGACTTCGCTGTTCTTGTCTCGTCTCCTTTGTTTCCTTTCAGGCTCAGCCGTGTACAATACGTCGCTGACTCCTCGCAAACATGGACATCCCACAAACACGCTGCCAGGTAAACACTGAGCCGCTTGTGATTATTTTTATTTTTTTTCTTTTAGGTTATTGCTGTAATTTTATTGACTGTCAGGAGGTGGAGGAAAATGCTTGCAACAGACTGGCTGATATATATGAGCACTGGGACAGGATGTAAACAAAACATGGGCTGACAGGTGGTTTCATTCACCACAAATTTAAAAAAGCAATAAACTGTTCAACATTTAGAAGATCATTTTAGTATTTTTTTTGACTCTGTGTCTTGATTTATAGTGACATTAAGTTTATAAGTGCAGGTAACTGAACAGTTTAAAAGCAAGATGTTTTCTGGTTGAACACTGCCCCCTGCTGGGAGCAACAGAAACGACCTATTATCATTAAGATCAATGGGCTTCTTACTGTAACTGTAATGAAACATGAAGGGGATTACGCAGGAGGAATGGAATCATTTTGGGATGCGCTGTAACAAGAATTACGATGGATTACATTAAATCCCGACTCTGATCTGGTTTGTTAGGAGCTGATCCCACTCACAAAGTGGACGACAGCAACACCAGGATCCTGATTGGCTGCCTGGTGGCCATCATAGCCATCCTATTGGCTATCATCGTCATCATCCTGTGGCGGCAGGTCTGGCAAAAGATGCTTGAGAAGGTGAGGAGAAGGTGATTCGTCTAATGTGTCCAGATACGACTTTGTGGTGTTGATTCTTAACCCGATGCACGGTTTCAATGCATCGGATTCAGTTTAGGCCATCGCATGTTTATCCAGTGGTTTAAAGTAATTCAGTATATCAAGGACTGTATTTAAGTACAGTTTTGAGGTACTTGTACTTCACTTGAGTATTTCCATTTTCTGTTATTTTGCACTTGTACTTCAGTAAAGTTCAGAGACCACAAAGAACTTTACTTTTACTTCATGACATCTATTTGATAAATTTAGTTACTCTGCACATTTTGTGTCATATTATAAAATGTAATCAACAAATAAATAATGATTTAATATTATAAATTCACGAATGACCCAGGTAATAAACTATATCTAACAGTAAAACCAGTGTTAAAGCAATGAACACATTAATACAGCAATACTTATCATACAATAATGTACATTTTTCTGGAATATGCCATTCTGCTTGAAGAGTACTTGTACTTGTGGTGATTTGAGTATATTTAGATGCTAAAACTTTTGCACTTTTACTGAAGTAAACATGTAAGCGCATTGCTTTTCCTGGGAACAGTAGTCTTACACTGCAGTGTTGTTATTCCTACATAACCTCTTAAGACCTGGCGTCACATCTGGGGTTGTATTATCACTGTAATTTTTATTTTTATTATTATTATTTTATTATTGTTACTTATTTGTTCATTTTTTTCTGGTTTTCTGGTTTCATCTGGTTCTCCTGTTAACACAAACAGGAAGAAAACGTTATCTTTGAGACAGTTTGTGTCTCCTCTATTTGTATTGCTGACTGTGTTGTGTCTCTTTTTTGTCGTGTTGTGTCTCTTTGCAGCAGTCTGGAGCGCATATTCGTTCATTTTCTGTTTGTGTTTTTGTTGTTTTGTGTCTCTTTGTGGTTGTTGTCCCGTTCTGTGGTTGTGTTGAGTCTCTTTTTTGTCATTTCAGATCTGTTTTTGATTGTTCTGTTGACTTCTTCACTGTTTTGTGGTTTTTTGTGGGGATTTCTTTGGTCATTCTGAGTCTCTTTTTGTCATTTTGTTGGTTTTCTTGATTGTTTTGTGTCTCTCTTTGGTAGTTTTAAATGAATTTTTTGGTCCTTTTAAACATTTTTAATAAATATTTTTTTTAATATATTTTTATTTTCAAGAGCTCAGGTCTTGAGAGGTTAAGCTCAATAACTGAGTACGTCTTCCAAATTGGATTTTTCTGTTATTTGATGTAACAATAATGACATATCCTTCAGCCTACAGCATAAAAACTTTGTTTTCACACTGAAATTTTCCCTCCATATCACAAGTAGGAAATAGAGTAAAGATAGGACTGTGGCACCTACATGACAATGTGTAATTTTAAAAAAAGGAAAATTCCAAAAGTCGTTTATATATTGTGTATATAATGTTTTTTTTTTTTTTAATGGAACAAATCAGTATGCAGTAGAAGTTTTGGCTTGGCTCTGTGAAAAGCAAACATCAAGGAGGGGGTAAAGGAAATTAGATTTTAATTTGATCGTATTCAACATGTGAGTTTGAGAAGCTGGAATAGACTTGAAGCAGGTGGGCGACGCCATCAGCAGCATATGGTGCACTGGATGAGAAAAAAGTCTCTGAGGCACGATGATGGGGAGAATAACCTTCTGCAATGTGAAAGGTTTTGGATGTACACGTTGAACAGGGTCACCCCAAAGCTTAAAGCCGGGATTAGACCAAAAAAAAGCTCTTTAAATTATTTTCATGTCCACAGTGATTCATCGAGGATACTGATGTACAGTTTAAAGGTGCTTTTGTTTTCCAGTAGCATTTCCATTCCACTACATTTTTCTTTGAGCAGATTTCGTTATATGTATTAGTATTCATTTCAGATGTCATTGAGTTGTTTGCAGCTCCATCAAAGTGTGATTTTTCCTTTTAAACATCTCACATGGTTCCGTTTCAGTAAATGTTCAAATGATCCTAAATCACAGCGAGAGAAAAAGTCCAGAAAATGAATTTGCACATCAGAACCATTAACCATCTGGTAGCACCTCTGATTTATGTATAAATAACTATAAATCTGTTAATAAAACTGTATATAAAGTTGTTCAGATTAGCTCCATGTGCAGCAGCTACAACACGCTGCTACAACTCTGATGCTTCAACAAGAATCATCTAATAGTGTCATAGATAATAGTAAAACAGTCTAGAAGGTCGTCGGTTGGCGTCCCGGTGAGGACACCTGGGATCTTCCTGCGTGGAGTCTCCATGTTCTCCTCATGCAGCATGGGTTCTCTCTGGGTTCTCCAGCTTCCTCCCACAGTTCAGAAACATGCTGAGGTTAATTGGTGATTCTAAATTGTCCGTAGGTGTGAATGTGAGTGTGCTTGGTTGTCTGTCTCTAAGTGTAGCCCTGTGATAGACTGGTGACCTGTCCAGGTTAACCTGCCTTCACCCTGAGTCAGCTGGGATAGACTCCAGCCCCCCATGACCCTAGAGAGGATGAAGGTGTAGAGATGATGGATGGATGGATGCCTGTGCAGGACTTTTACTTGTAATGGAGTATTTTTAAATTGTTTCATTGGTACTTTTACTTTGGTAACGGTTCTGAACACTTCCTCCACCTCTGCTGTAAAGTGAGCTCCTTAGTGATTTATTTCTTTGCCTGTATATGAAGCCAGTATAGGTAAAAACTTTGCATGGAAAACATTTTCTGAGCTCTTCTGTTCCTCCCTCACTGCCTACATCAACAACATGCTGATGTCTTTCCTTGCTCATGCTGCAGATGAGCATTAAGCACAAACCAAACTTCACAGCAGATTTCGTCTTTTGTCTTCAGGCCTCCCGCCGCATGTTGGACGACGAACTCACGGCTCGTCTGGCAGTGCAGACCCAGGCCTTCTCCTTCCACCACTCCTCCCTGTCCAGTGAAGGCGGCTCCACCTCCAACTCCACCTATGAGAGGATCTTCCCCCTCTGCGCCGACTACCAAGAGCCTTCACGCCTCATCCGGAAACTGCCTGAGTTCGCTCAGTCCAACGAGCACCTTGGTAAGTTTGCCAAGGACAAATCTGTGAAACGTCAGCTGAAGCCACAGCTCCTGTACTCTGCGTTTCTCTCAACACAGCAGAACCAAGCGCCTCCTTCAGAGCCCTTACAGCCGGCGGTTCGGATGGGGCTCCCCACTACGCTGAGGCGGATATCATCAGTCTGCAGGAGTCTTCAGACAGCAGCACCTACTCCATCACAGCTGTCAACATGAATCTCTTCGCTGGCACCGATTCATCCATGAGAGAGTTTCCCAGACAGAAGCTCACCTTCAAGGAGAAACTGGGAGAGGGCCAGTTCGGAGAAGTACATTGTTGTTTCTACTGTTTGCTGGCATGCCTTTATGTATCAGACCCATTCTCCCTCTGCCATCAGTATGTTGGTGTAACTTTATGGCTGTCATTTATAAAGTTATATGACAGAGCCTGCTGTGTAGTAAAAGCGCCAGACTGTGAAATGCAGCGTTACAAACTGACGAATGGGGCAACACGGAGGGGCATTAAACGGAGCTGAACAGATGGTTTCAAGTGGTGCCAAGTGGATGATGGACTGACAAAGGGCTTTTTTAAACAGGTGCACTTGTGTGAGGCCGAGGGCATGCAGGACTTTTTGGACGAGGATTTGTCTATAGAGGGAAACAACGAGTCACCTCTGCTCGTCGCCGTGAAAACACTGCGGGAAGACGCCAACAAGAATGCAAGGTAAGGGAAAGATGTGCTTGTCTCTCGTTGGGCCGCCAGTCGAGCAGTTAATTACAACCGTTCATCCCCCTGCTGTGCTGCAGGAACGACTTCCTGAAGGAGATCCGCATCATGTCTCGTCTGAGGGACCCCAACATCGTCCGTCTGCTGGCGGTCTGCGTGGACACGGACCCTCTGTGCATGATCACAGAGTACATGGAGAACGGAGACCTGAACCAGTTCCTGTGCGATCTCAGCCTGAAGGAGGCCGCTGACGAAGACAAGGCAGAACAGGAGGAGAAAGAAGAGAAAAGTATGGTCAGGTGAGCTCCTGTCCTGACATGAAATTGAAATGATGATCAGGGAAAAAACACACAGAGCTAATTCCAGGTATAACAGCACTGCACTGACAGGTTATATTTCCTCTCTCGTGTTCTTAGTTACACTAAACTGATCGGCATGGCGGCGCAGATCGCCTCCGGCATGAAGTACTTGTCCTCTCTGAACTTCGTCCACCGCGACCTGGCGACACGTAACTGCCTGGTGGGTAAGAACTACACCATAAAGATCGCCGACTTCGGCATGAGTCGGAACCTGTACAGAGGAGACTACTACCGGATCCAGGGCCGGGCCGTGCTGCCCATTCGCTGGATGTCGTGGGAGAGCATCCTGCTGGTGAGTGACCTGGTGACCTGGGACCATCAGTCCATTAGACCCTGGATGTGATCGTTGGACTACATTCAGTTATTTAAAGATTATGTATATCAGTGCCCCCTTTTATTTTTTTACCAGATTTTTTATTCATAATCCAGAAGCCATATAAATTATTTAGTCCAATAAAAGTTCTATTGACCTTACATATCGCGGCATTTAACTGAAGGAATTCATAAATATAAGAAGAACCAAAGGGCAGTAAAGCTAGCCTGATAACACTACTGTATGTGGAGCTGTAACTGTTCATCCATTAGACGATGCCAGACTGCATCTGGTTATAAGGGAGAGTTCTGCTGTTTTGAAACCTGATCCTTATTTCCCCTTTCTTGGGATTTAATTGATTGATGGGAATGAAAATTTGTTTAGAAACTCAAGAATTTGTTGTAAGAATGCTTTAATTGGCACCACAGAGCAGCTGCTAGGTCAGGCCCTGGTACATTCATCCATGCCAAAGTAAAGATGCTTGTTTTTGTCACAGACAGGCTCATTGTCTCTGACATCACTAGTGACAGGATTCCTGGAGAGATTTTGTCAGCGTTGTGGCCCACACAGACCTGAAACTGGTAAAACCAGCTGTGGAACACAGAGACCTGCTGTGGGCTGAGTATAGAGCTAACGTTATTAGTTAAAGATATTCTGTTGCATCAGTTTGCATGAAAGCATGGCAGGATAATGGTACAAAAGCAACCCAGCAGTATGTACGCTGAATAAAACTATAAATGCATCAAGCTAATGATCTTATTTTATGACTTACATCAGCGCTTCTCAAACTTTTTGAGCCACGACCCCAAAGATAACATAAGTTTGTGTTCCCCCAATTTGAATTCTTCATATATCATGAGTAATACCTTTGTTGTTGATGCATTAATGCGTCAAAAATTAATGTGTTAATTCCACAGATTCATGTCTTTACATTAACATGTTAATTTTCTTTTGAATGAATGAAAGAATTGAATTTATTTTGAATAAATGAAAGGGAAAAAACAACAAAAACAACAAAAACAAAAGAAAATAATTTAAAAAGAGCAAAAAGGAATAATAACATTGCATAATCAAATCATAATATTAACAATTCCAAGAAAGGAGTGGGAAGAAGTGTACACTTTCAATTTTGACAGCCCTAATACACATTTATTTGATAAATGGAGGCGTTGTTTATTTGTATTTTTTTTACAATGATCTGGTGACCCCCTGAAATTATCTTGGAACCCCCAGTATGAGAACTACTGACTTAGAGAAAATATTAAAAATCTCATTTCTGTTTTTGTGGCTATAGTACACGGTTAAATTTAGCGTAGTTGTGCACAAAAAGTTTCTGAGTTGTTCAACCCTCAACACTCCTCATTCTAGTCAGGTGTGACTTTAAAGGACAATTATCAGACAGTGTGACCAGAACACAGACTCACCTTCAAACCAGTGGCTATAAAAGGCCTTCAAATGCAACTTTATTCAAATGACACGATACCACAGACGAACGGGCTGCTGGATGCCGGTGTGTTAATCAGGGCTGCAGGAAGACACTTTAATGTCCACAACTCCAACATTTGTCATCTAAAAAAAAAATCATTCCAGACAGCTCTGGATGTCTGACAACATGATCCTGCCCCCCAAAATGTCCAACAACTTCACCAAGACCTTCAGAAATAGTGGGACAACATTCAGATGTGTGGCTGACTTGTGATCTCTGGTCCATGAATGACTCTATTCTCCATCTGCCCTTTATCATTTCCAATGTAGTCGGTTGTCTCTTGACGTCCATTCTGTTGTAGAGATGCTGTGTGTTGGAATAAAACATACTTATTCCCCTATGTTAACAAGAATTAATACAATGAATTGAAATATTGCATGTTGTAACAGTTATAAGTTATTTATACCAGCCAATATGGAAACACAGGGCCCACATTTACCAGCGGCTGGATCGGCCTTTAAGCTGTCTCTTGTCTGTCCTCTCAGGGTAAGTTCACCATGGCCAGCGATGTGTGGGCGTTCGGGGTGACTTTGTGGGAAATTCTGACGCTGTGTAAGGAGCAGCCGTATTCTCAGCTCTCTGACGAGCAGGTCATTGAAAACACAGGAGAGTTTTTCAGGGACCAGGGGAAGCAGGTAAGCAAACGAGTGCATGCACACTTTCAGACACATTTCCACCATATTAATCCTACATTCTCATCGCCTTGTCTCATGCTCTCAGGTGTACCTGCCGAAGCCTCCCTGCTGTCCTGACAGAGTCTACAGCGATCTCATGCTGAGCTGTTGGAGGAGGAACGCCAAGCAAAGGCCGAGCTTTCAGGAGATGCACGCTCAGCTGATGGAGAGTCTGGCATAGCGGATGGGATTTATAGTTTCTCTCAGCCATGCACTGTCCTCTTTGCTTCCTTCAGCGTGGGTTCATTTGAATTACCTGAGAGGCAACACGTCTGATGATTCTGCAGAAGCTTGCTTATCACAACGGTGCTGTACATAGAGACACATGACTTGAACAGAGCCTTATATTGTAGATATCGTGCAAATTAGCACAGCATACTCACCCCTCTGTGTATTTATTAACTTCTTTCTATTTCTCATGCTATGTCTATTTATAGAGGACTACACGGTTATCCTAGATGAAACAGTTGTGAATGTTTTTTTGAAGTCTTTCACTCATGCATAGCCTCCAGGTGATTTATTAAAGAATGTCAGCACTGTTGTGTGACCTTTGTGTTGTCCAACGTTTTTGATATTTTAAGATTTTTATTATCTTGAGACTGTTTTCTGGATGTGTTTTTACTACGCAAAAGCTCACCGGCATGTTTTATAAACATGTCGCAGGAAATACATTTGCTGTATATAGTTGATGAGTAGGAAGGAAAAAACGTTGTTTTTTTTTAAATCATGTTTCAGACCAAAGATTTGTGTAAATAAAGAAAAGATTATAATTGATTGTGTTGGCCACGTTTTTATTTTTATTTTTTATTTTTTTACGAGTACAGTCGTCCTCTAATGTATTCATCCCCCTCCATTATAGAAAAAACAAAATTCACAATAGTCACTCAAATAAGTAGAAACTGAAAAAAGTAATAATAAATAAAAATTTGCTAAATTATACTTTAGTGAAATAAGACGCTGCTGGTCAATTGTGATTGGAAAGAATAATTTTTAAAAAAACAAATACAAAATTAAAATACCTGTCAACAGGTGCAGAAGTCTGACTGAGAGTTACAGAAAACACCTGATTGTAGTGATTGGCTGAAAGGGTTGTTCAACAAAATATTAGTTTACGGGTCCCATCATGCTTGTTTGCTTGTTTTTGTTTGTTTGTTTTTTTTGTTTTGGTTTTTTAAATATATTTTTCCGTTGAACCACAATTCAAAAGCAATGTCATGATTTTCATTACATTTTTATTTATTATTGCTTTTTTCAATTTCCACTTATTTCAGATGTTTATTTCCTTCTTTAAATCGAGGGTATGAATACATTTGAGGACATGTCCACGAAGCGCATTTTCTTTCCTGGTTTGACCCTCGTCGCTCCCCGTCGCCGAAGCTGATTGGCCGGCCGTTTGTTGACATCCAATCACACCACGACTCCGCTGCCGCATATAGGCTGAGTGTTTGAAGCGGAATCGGACGATGGGCTGAACGTCTGCAGATACCCGCCGTGAACAGGGAATAAATAACCGGTTCTGGACTTTGTTCTGGTCTCATTTTGGTCCAGAGCCGCTGCAGAATCCGGTCGAACATGGAGAGAGTCGTTATCGTCACCGGAGCGAACAGGTGAGTCCGCTGAGAACACCTTATTACCGCTAATGAAGACTCCACTGACTAGGTAGTAAACAGCTGCTTTAATGTGTTTATGAGTAAAATATGGCTTCAGTGAGAGAGAACATCATTCCTCTGATGAGGTTACCTGCTTCTAAATCTCTCATAAGCTGACCGTGACGCCTTCGAGCTGTGTATTTATAATCCTACTTTGCAGACAAGTCACAGCTACAAACCACAATTAAAACATCCAGGCTGTAGAAAGTGCATTTCAGTAACATACTAAAAAAAAATGTAAAAAGCAACAGATGTAATAAAGGTCTCCTATGGTAAAAATACATTTTTGTTGTGTTCTGTAGTTGAATGAATGAATGAATGAATGAATGAATGAAGGAATGAATGAATGAATGAATGAATGAATGAATGAATGAATGCCCTTTACTGTCATTATACAGTGTACATCCTATTTTTAATGTAAGTAAAAACTAAATAAAGTGCAAAATTGCTCAGTACAATATAAAAGATTAAAAAAAGATAAATGTATAAAAAGATTGAAAAACTATTGCACGAGTTGTTATGAACTAAAATCCATTCCTCTAGTTCATTATAATATTTGCAGTTTTAAAAATTTAGAGTAACAGCTCCTTACGTAACATGCAGACATCAGAGTGGTAAACCCAACAGTTGTAATCAATATTTCCCTAAAACGCCGTTCTTTTTCTTTATGTTGCCCACAATCGCAAACATATCAAGTAAACACAACGTATGAAACATATGAGTCATAATTAACTTCACCCAGACATAACAGACAGAAATGTTTCTCATTATTTATCCTCCACTTTAGTTACTCCCGGCCAGTTCTATATCAGTTAATCTGTGAGATGATTCAGATTCAGTTCTTCTGGGAGGGCTTCTTGTTAATGTGCCACGTTGCTTTGTTTGTCTGCCATCTGCCTCTCTGTCTGCAGCGGCATCGGCCTAGCCCTGTGCGAGAGGCTGCTCGCTGAGGACAGCCAGCTCCGGCTGTGTCTGGCCTGCAGAAACATGCAGCGGGCCGAAGCTGCCCGCTCTGCCCTCCTGGCCTCTCACACCACTGCCCACGTGGACTTGCTGCACCTGGATGTGGGCTCCGTGCAGTCGGTGCTCAGCGCTGCTCAGGAGGCCAAGAGCAGGTGAGAGAGCTTCGGCACCTCATGATGACTGATGTCTTCACTCTGTGGTAGCATCACCTGAAAATGAGCTACAGATATGTAATTAAGATTGATTATTCTGTAATGTGCGTGTTGTTTTTCCACAGGTACAGCAGAATTGACTTTCTGTATCTAAATGCAGGAATTATGCCCAATCCACAGATAGACGTTCGAGCCTTTTTCAAGGGTCTGTTTTCCAGGTAAACTTTGTTTTGGTTTACTGGCTTGCAGTTAAATGGCTGTACAGCAGTGCAGCTCGTCTCCAGTTGTCCCGGCTGTTATGTAACGGCGTTGTTTCCCCGCTGCAGGAACGTCGTCAACATGTTTGCGACAGCAGAGGGTCTCCTCACGCAGCAGGACCGCCTCAACTCAGACGGCCTGCAGGAAGTTTTCGCCACAAACCTGTTTGGTCATTTTCTCCTGGTACAACACAGACTGAGCACACACACATGTGACTTTACATCTAAAAAATGACAAGTTTCTTTACCTGCTAGTTGTCAGAGTTAGATTTAACCACATAGAGGAAGTCGTCCAGTGTCTGCTAGGATGATGTTGTATCAGCATGTAAAGGCTTTAAAATGAAAAATCAGCTTAGAATGAATCTTGACAGGTCAGGATAAAAGTTGATGTTTCTGTTTGAGAATGTTATAGATAAATATATAATCGGATGTTTGACATGTAGACTGAGACAGTTTGTATGTGTGTTGACAAAGCTAAAGATTTTGTAGTGATTTTTGAGTTCAAAACGTCTCCTTGCTACCTGTATAAAATGTATAATAGTCCATTTAAAACCCGGATGTAAAGGTTAAATACTAGTATATAACTGTTGGGTATAGAGGGCTGCTATCGAGGTCTTGTTTCCATGATGCTGTATTGTAACCCCTCACCCAGCAGTTTTCTCGGTGAGGTTGCTATGACCTGATATTCATGCCTCGCTGTTCCAGATCAGGGAGCTGGAGCCTCTGCTGTGTCGGTCGGGTCACACCTCCAGAATAGTGTGGACCTCCTCGAGTAACGCCCGCCGCTCTGCCTTCAGCATGGAGGACATTCAGCACAGAGATGGGACAGAGCCCTACAGCTCCTCCAAATACGCTTCAGACATGCTCAGCATGGCCCTCAACAGACACAAGAACAGCCAGGTTTGACTCACACTCTGCAGAGCACTAACACAGTCAGAACTCTCACTGCAGAGTTCCTCGGTGGTCGTGAACAAACACACTGTCGTCTTCTTTTTCCCATAGGGGCTGTTCTCCTCTGTGATATGTCCAGGCCTGGTGATGACTAATTTGACCTATGGCATCCTCCCCTCCTTCTTCTGGACTCTCATCATGCCCATCATGTGGCTGGTTAGTGCTGATTTATTTGTGTTTTAATGTGTCTTTTTCTTACTACATCACCTTCTTATATTTCTTTTCTCGTATCACAGATTAGGATTTTCACCAACACTTTCACACTGACACCGTACAACGGCGCCGAGGCACTGGTATGTTGTCAGCCCAGGCTGGTGTTTTCCCCATGAAAAGATTCTGATATCTCTACAATAAATGCACTATAAACACAGGTTACTGCTCTTGTTGTTCGCAGCACTACTTGTTCCTTCAAAAGCCTGAGTCTTTGGATCCAAGAGCAAAGTATCACAGTTTAACATCAGGACTTGGAACCAATTACACTCAGCCTCGACAGGTGAGTAACTACGAGAGCCTGTGCTACGGAGCGCCTCGCAGGAAAGTAATGTGTTGTTGAAGAGGCTTTATTTACATGTAATTCATTCAGATTTCCTGTGGTGCTTGTGTTTCAGATGGACATCGATGGTGAAATGTCCGAGGTCCTTTTCTCAAAACTCCTGGAACTGGAGAAAGCAGTGAGAAGAAAACTGAGTGAGAGAAATGCTGAGGACAAAGCTCATCGGCAGTACGTCAGCGAAATAGAGTAGTGAAGTGGACAGAATGCAGCTTGAACCATCATTACATTCCAGTTGGACCATTAAATAGTGTTTTCGTTGAAGTGAAACAACCATACTGCTGCTACCTCAGGTGAAACCACAACTTGGATTTATGCAAGTGATCATATTGGCTAAAGGAGTACGGCAACTTCTGCAGCACGTCAGTGAAAGTGTTTGCGTCTTCCAGATTCTGCATCATCATGATCTTATTTAAAGAGCCCATATTATGCACATCTACAGGTTCATGATTATATTTTTGGAGTCTGCTAGAAGATATTTATATGCTGTAATGTTCAAAAAACACTTTATGTTTCTCAGACTGTGTATTGTTGCAGCACCTCTTCTCAGCCTCCATCTGAAAGTTACCATTTTAGCTCGTCTCTCTAAGGCCCTCCTCCCAACAGTCTGCTCTGATTGGTCAGCTGACCCAACCAAGCAAAGCAACACTGATATCGTCCACCACATCTATGAGTATGAGGATGTACACCTAGCAGAAGCAGCTCAAGAAGGACAGTTTCTCAATCTCTGTTTAAGGGCCAAACTAGCTGCTAAACTGGGATTATGCAAATGTGTTACACAATGACATCATTAAGTAACGCAAGAAAAGCCTGGACCTCGAATGAGGCGTTTCGAGCCGGTAAGGGGAAAATACACTCCCTCTGGTGTGGAATTTTGCCCTTGTAAGACCTTTTACATGCACAGAAAGCTAGAACACACCGAAAGAAAGGGAAAAACCTCAAAAGCATCACATGGGCTCTTTAAATAAACTACTGCTCCTGTTATTGTACTTCTCACGTAACGTCAACATACACACTCACACGTGTCATTTACCAAAGAGGCAATGCATTCATTCCTGCAAATGTTTTTTTAATTAAACAACACTATGCTTTTAAATATCCAACGTTAATATTCAATCACTAGATTCACACAGCTCCACACTTTCAAATTTCTGTTTTATATCCTGCAATTATCTTGCTCTCAGCGTGACACTGATGTCAAAGTCGTGCAGAAAAAAACAATCCCGAACACTGTTTTTAGAGAAAGGAAACTGATTTGCGCTCGTAGCTCTGTTAGCGGAGCTGTAAAGACTTGAAATCTCATCATAACATGCACTTGACCCACATCACACTCAGATGTGATTTGCATATCCGAGACGCCTGTGTGGGTTTAAAAGGCCTTTTGTGATAATTTGCCATTTCTTCTCTACAAACCTACTCACGTTGCTTAATGTGCCTTTTTTTTCATTATCCAGTATGTTAACATTGAAAAGATGCATTTTATCTCTTGAAAGCTTGGTTATAAAAAGTAATAAAACAATGTTGTCTCATGAACTAATCCTGTCAGTTTTTTCAACATGTTTCTGTGGACTTCCTTTTTTATTTTTTTTTATTTTTTCAAACAATAAAGTTCGGGTTCCAATGAGACCAGTAACCAGCAGTGGTGTCATCTGCTGCTGTAACGCAGATACGATGGCCCTGCTGCGTTTCCACCTGATAGCTGCATCGTGTTTCCTGCCTCACAGAGTTAATTAGCAGTTTCTTTACGGTCTGGGTTTCTCTAGGCCACTGACTGACCGCCGGCTGTCTGTGATCCGGGGATCGCCTCGCCACAAATCATAAATTATGGACGGCTTGTCTTGTTTTAATGAATAAAACAATTGCTGGGGTTTGGAATAGGCCCAAGAATATGAACACGATCGAGTGTGAGACAGTTTACAAGGTATGAGCTTGTATCATGTGAGACGGCACTGACTTCTGTTGGACGCTCTCACACGTGAGCCTTGTTTAATGGTGGTGTTTCTACATTTAAAATTCATCAGCAATGGGTTTCACTTAATAAACAATTAAGCCTCTCTTCTTGTTTAATCATAGAAATTAGGTAGAGGTTAGATTTATTGTTATATGCATTTATACTGCTAATTATTAGGTTGCTTTATAGGTGTGTTCATTTCTGGGATTTTAAACAACCTACAGATGATTTGAAGTGGCGGTAGTGTGTTAATAATTCACGTATGATCATTTAGTATATAATCCATCCCTAGTAACTCTTTGTGGACGCTCCAGCTTAGTAACAACATACAGGACAGCTACGGTTACAGACTCTCTGCACCTCCATGTGTTTGGATTTTGGGTGTAATTCATTCAACAATAGATTTAAAGTTTAATTTTACTGATAGCACTAGTATTTTGTTGTCACTTTTTTACATTTACATGTATTTTCTGCCAAATTTTAAAGCTTTTTTCTTCTCGTTAACATGTCCACATGGTGTTTTATGTATGCTAGAAGACACATGGTGAGCAAAATCAACACCACAGCTGAGCATGTCCACCTTGAAACTGCAGTGTACTGATGACGTTCTCAAAACCTAAAAAAAAAAAACACCCTCAAGAACTAATCCTGTCAACTAGAGGAGTGAGGCATACCATTCTTCTCCTTCAGTATCAGCTTTCTTAACGCATGACAGTATGACTGTATTATTACAACTTGCCATTGTGTTGCGCAGAGTAGTTTTTATGTGCTTGAGCAGAGTCGTAAGTGAGCTGGTGTGCTCGAGCTGCAGCGAGTGATGGAGGGAAGAAATGGTGTACGGTTACATCCAAGTCGTTTTAAGACAAAAAATGATTATTTTAATGAAAAAATAAACTTCTAAATACCATATAGCTTTTAAATTTGATGTACAAAGGCACATTTTTAGGGGTTTAGTTAACATTAAAATCACTATTTAATAAGTACTTGTTATATTAGCAGCTATAAATCTAATCGTGCATTGTTTTAATTGTGTTTATTGATTTAAGAATTCCAGCCATTTCTGATTAAACTCCTGCCAAGTAAGAGAACTTTAATTTGGACAAACTTCCTGTTTTGTAAATGCTTGCCTTGCACCTCAGTGTTTGATCTTCATTCTTGTTTTTAAACCAAAGACACGCATGACTCAGACGAGGAGTTTTAACTGTGATAAAGAAGTGTCTGAACTTATCGTCAGCTTCCTCGGCAGACTGATGAGTTGACTCTGCACAGGGGCTGACCTGTCAGATATGCTGTCACCAGCTGTTACTCAGCACGCCCTTACTGGCCCGAACCACACCATTTCCTGCTTTTTATAAACTCACAAATCCCACTTAATCTTTTGATATGGGTGCCTGGAGCATCAGCGTAAGGTCACAGCTGCACATACTGAGTTTCAAATAGCAACAGCTGAGTCTCAGTAAAGCTTACTCAGGTGTATGTTAAGTACATAGAGGTCTCAAACAATAATATGTGTTTAATTAGACACATGAGGAGTGTTTAGAGTTTTTTTCTTCTTCAACTGCCCTCCTGTCATGTTGTTTGGGGTCCCACAGGGCTCAATCCTCGGCCTCATTCAGTTCATTTAGTATCCGATGCCCCTGGGTGATGTTATTTGCCATTTCACCCTTTTCACTCTTGTACCTATTTCTCATTTACCGTTGAAAATCATGACAATCTGGAACCTCTTCACGATAGCTGTACTGCAATGAAGGCCTGCATGAGTTCTGATTTCTGCAACGTTATACAGACAAGACTTCTGGTTATTTTATCGTTACAGTTGATAGAAATCACAGCACCTCGAATATTCAGAACCACTCAGGGAACACAAGACTCCAGTCCTGGCTGAATAACTGGGGCCTCGATTACTTTTAAATCTCTACATTGTTCTGGCTTCACTCTGCATCACTGAACTTTTGACATTTTATTCCGCACCGAGACTCCTCAGATCAGAGAATCAGTTACTGTTAAAAGGTCCATGATCCAGGCTTAAAACAAAGTGGGAACACGCTTAAACTGCTTTAGCTCCGACGCTCTGGAACAAAACTCCCCCTCGCTGTCGGAAAAAGCTCCGTCAGTGCTTCAGTTCAAAAAGGTTTTAGAAACCCGCCTGTCCAGACGTGCGTTTAAATAGCATTTTCCCCGTTTTTTGAATATATTATCACTGCTCTTTTCAATGTTTTACACTCTTTACTAATGTTCTATTGCCCTCTTTTATTGTTTTATCGTCACTTTCACCTACTTTGTATATTTTAATGCTTTGTACAGCACCTTCTCCTGTTTTTAAAGCTGCTATAGAAATACAGTTTATTAAATGTTATTATTAGCCAATTAAATTCACATTTTTTTTCCTCTAATGACTGTTTGACAAGGCTGTGCAACAAGGCATGATTAAAAAAACAAAAACAAAAACAAAAAAACCTTGAAACTAGATGAAAAATAGTCTGATATCATCACACATGGGCAAGTGTTGAAATCACAAACTGTGGGTGAATTCTTTTAACCTCAAAAACTCTGCAGCATCTCTTGTCCTGGGTTAGTTTGAACTGTGCTCACCACAGTGAAGTGCAGCTGTACCAGATAATCAGTCACCATCACTGCAAAGTAGGGAACCGAGGAGCTATGACATGCATTACCTCTCGCAGTCCTCTGTACTACTAATGCATGGCAGAATTCCTGAACTTCAGGTCTGAGTTTTAGTGTAACCAGTGTCCCCATCTTTCCAGCCCTGTATCACATGTCTGTGGTCTCTCCTGTCCGCAGCTGAATATCATGTTTACAGAGCAGCTGCAGGAGCTCAGCGGCCTGATGTGATGCTGCTAAAAGCCTCCCCTGCATGTAGCATCCTCAGAGAAATTAAAGCCCGGATTAGAGCAGGAGGAGATGAAAGCACACCGTTACATAATGTAAATAAAAACATTGCAGCCGCCGCGTGCTCAGATTGGTGCGCGCCGCACGATGTCCCGGATGGTGCTCGCACCGGAAGAGAAGGGGCAGCTCTCCCAGCCATCTTGTGGCAGCATCCAGCGAGCTGGTCGCATCAAGCCTCGTAGAATCGGAGGTGAATCCCGTTGAAGGGGCGCCATCATGCCCGGACACCTGCAAGAAGGCTTCGGCTGCGTCGTAACCAACCGGTTCGACCAGTTATTGGACGACGAGTCCGACCCGTTCGAGATCCTGAAAGCTGCCGAAAACAAGAAGAAGGAGGGGGCCGCCGCTGGTTCCACCAAGACCGCGGCTCAAGCCGCCAAGCAGCCGAAGAAGGAGTCACAGAAGGACAGAAAAAACCCGCTGCTGGACAAAAAGGAAGAGTCCCAGGCGCCGGTTCCCCTGAAGAAGGAAGGTAAAATAACGGCACCTGCTGCCTCGCTGCTGCGCACTGAATGTTTATTTTGTGCTTTTCGTAGCAACTGTCATGTGCAGCTCCTGTTAGCTGCGTTAGCTGCTGCTGGTCGGAGCGAAGCGCAGCGTGAGGTCAACATGGACCCTGTCCTGCTGCTGTAGAGGACAGACCATCGAGCCTCCGGGCCGGACACCAACACACGCCTGCAGCAGGAGCCTCGCTGAGATGCTCGCATAAAGCCACCAGCAAGGTCCTGTGCAGGCTGTGTCGCAGAAATGGTTTCCTCCAGCATCCGGCAGGAAGGTGCAGTGTTGGGTTACTGTCTGCTGGGTGATGCTCAGGCTCCGGCTGCGCAGCTCCGCGAGCAGCTGGAGGCTTTGCTAAGCAAATATTTAGGATACTCACCTGAGCAGTGGGAAAACCAAACAGAGCGGTGTGGATGTGTCACCTGAGGGGAAACCTGACGAATGTTTTCAGCTTAGCGGTCCTAAAATGAGTTTATGTTTGTAGTGTGATTGCAGTAAAATGATAAACAGGAGAGGTGACAGATCACATGTCAGCAGTCAGACCAGTTGTTTACACATATTCTGCCTGTTCCTGCATGCACGCTGTGCAAACACTTCAGCAGCCACATTGTGTTTCTTAAGCCAACAGAGCTTAATAGATTTCATTTGTGCACCTGTGACATGCAGGTATCAGGCGGGTGGGGAGAAGACCGGACCAGCAGGGCCAGTCTGGATCCCAGCACCAGGGTGGGCAGGGCGAGGGGCGACCCGGAGACAAGAGGCCGGACCGGAGACCTCCTCGCGAGCGCCGCTTTGAGAAGCCCGCTGAAGACAAGCCTGAGGGAGGTGGAGAGTTCTCTGCGGACAAGTGAGTATCTGTGATGAATGATGAAGAGCATATTTAAACATGCTGATGAGCTGGAGGCTGGCTGGTGTGATCCAGGACCAGGCGCATGCAGGGACTGCTGCTATTGATATAATCTGAGCTCACTTAACCTCAGCATCACAGCCGTCTGTAAATGACTGGTTCTGGAGGCTGGGCTGCTCTCGTTGACATTTCTGTGGAAATGATTATCATTAAGACCACACATGCTTGTGTGCTGCATGAGCTGCTGATTTCTCCCGTGGTGAGGTCATGACTGTACGCTTTATGAGACTGTGTCCGTGTCCCATCAGGCCTTCTGGAGACAGGCCCCCGAGAGGGCGTGGTGGCGGCCGGGGTGGGCGTGGTGGAAGAGGTCGAGGCATGGGCCGAGGAGACGGCTTCGACTCGCGTGGGAAACGAGACTTCGACAGACACAGCGGCACTGACAAATCGTGAGTCAGCCCTGAACCGAGACCTGAGCGGCCCACTGAGTCGAAATCACCCACCATTTGCATGTCGTTTTCAAATGCAGAGATAGCTGCTTGAGCTCTGTGGCGTTGGTACATTTATCATCACAAGGAAGTGTTTCTTAATGGCATCTCAGATTAGGATCAGCGCTACCTTTCATTCTCTTTGCCAAGTTAAGTGCACTAATCTGCTTTTGACTACAAACGCGAGGTCAAAGGTTGTTGTCGGTGTTTGAATTACTCTTCATTTCAGGATGGGAGGATTTTTATACACGTACTCAGTGTGTTTGTTGTCTGTTTCTTGCTCCAGCAATCAGAAAACTGAGGAGAAGCGCAGTGGCAGTGGCTCACACAACTGGGGCAACGTGAAGGAAGAAGCCAGGTGAGTTTTCGTGTTACCGTCGGCGGGATAGTGACGCACAGCTGATGTGCAGTGGTTCGATTTTTGTATTAAAACAAAGATTTGTGACGTGCACGCCACAGGATGCTGCAGACGGATACTCTGAAGTGTTTATGGCTCAGTTTTAATGTTAACACACGTGTGCTAATAATAGTTTAAACAGTTTGCGTGCTAGCTTGGGAAGGCTCTGCTATGAGATGATGTTTCAGCTGGAGGCAATTTATGAGCATCGACAACGTGTGTGTCTTTGTTCCCAGTGAGGCTGAACAGACTGCAGCTCCAGAGACGACCCCAGAGGGAGAAGAAAACGCACCAGCCGGCTCCGAAAACAAGTGAGAATCCATTTACTGTCAGATGCTACGTTAGATATGTCAATGAATCTCCTCTGTCTAAGAATTTCCACAAAAAAAAAAACAAAGTCTTATGTCATCAAACTAGGATGTTTTCCTTTTGGATTTTGGATGTCAGCTTGTGCCGCGCACAGTATTATTTCTGCATGCGCATTTCTGTCTCGAAGCTTAAGTGCAAATGGGATAAACATTGTCACTGACCCTGTGGCCCCAGGATTAGAGAGCATGTATAGAGGTAAGAGGATTGGCAGTTTGAGGGTTACGCGGCTACATTGTCGTGCGCTCGCATTCCAGAGAGAACGAGGTCGAGGAGGTGAAAAACGAAGGCCCCAGAGAGATGACCCTGGACGAGTGGAAGGCCATGCAGGACAAGGAGCGCACCAAGGTGGAGTTCAACATCCGGAAGCCCAACGAAGGAGCCGACAGCCAGTGGAAGAAGGGATACGTGCTGCACAAGTCCAAGAGCGAAGATGTGAGTGTGCTGATTTATGATACCGTGGACAGCAGGAAACGGTTTAGTCCTCCGTCTCTTACTGTCGTCTGCAGCAGCTCTGCACAGGCTCACTTGTTGGAGCTTTTTAACCAAACAGATACTTGACCAAAAAAAAAATGCCTGTTAAGCCAATTTACACATTAGCAGTGAGCTCATTTGTAATAACATTTTGTAGCACAGAGCAAAATGTTAAGACCAACAGGTACGTGCACTCTGGAGGTTTGCAAACGTGCTCACTGTTCGTTTGATGTTTTTATGAGGATGTCAGTGCAAAGGTGACAGAAGGTTGACAGCAGAGTGCTTGTGCATGGAGTGTTCTTTGTTTTTAGTGGCCTATAGTGGTTTTTAGAGAGCAAGTTAGCTGCTGGCAGGTATAAATGTTGTTCTCATGTTGTGTTTTGCTTTAGCCTGCAGTGCTTTTACTTTAAATGAATCAACTAAATGTCCTTTCCTAAATGTGAATCAAAAACTAAACTTTGAAAACAACATATGGATGAAAATTCAGTTTTAGCGCGCTTCATCATTCAACTGTTGAATTTATTGAACTCTGACGTCACCATTTGTCTCGACTTGTTGCCTGAGCACATCCAGTAACGCTGACTTTCGAATTTCCTCTTTTCTAGCACCTGTTTTGCAAAGTTCCCCGCTGCTTTTATACTTATTAATGTATACTTATCGTGCTAGATCAGCAGATGGCGATGGGTTTCTCTGCTGCTCCGTCCTGCTCGGTGCGTCGTATGTTTCGGTTTTCCTCCGCCTCCTTTAGCGATACTTGTAATAAACGCGGTCTGTTCTCGGCGGTGGAGACGAGGCTTCTTGTGTTGAACGTGCTGCCCTGCATCCCGGTTGTGCCGATTTTCTCAAAGCGGCATTTACTTGCCCCGATTAATCAGCCGACTGATTAGTAGATCTGTCACTAGTATGGATCCAGCGTGGCCACTGCTGGCTTCACGTTGGTTGCAGGTAGAAGCTGATGTAGACTTTAGGATCTGATGTTGTCTTTGTAAATTAAAAGAGCTGTGGTTAAAGTCGCCAGCACTGAGATCTTGCTTTTGTTTTCAAACTGTGTAATTAAACGGACGGTCGTCGGAGGCTAGCTGTGATGTTAGCGCTGTGTGAGGTCAGCGTCAGGTACACAGTTGTTGTGGGGATCGCTGTGTCGCTCTCTGGCCAGTAGCTTGGACGTGACATCTAAAAATAACTTCCTGCTCATATTTGTTTTTTTGCTTGATTTCCAGAGGCCCGTCGGTGCTCTGATTGACGCCTCGGAGACGGAAGCAGACTCTCACACTCTGTACCACAAGGTGTCTACATCTCTCACACTGGTCCTCCATCCACACAGAAAACATTTGGTGTCGAGTCTGTAATAAACCATCTGCTCCTGAGTGTTTTAATACACCCTCACATACTGAGAACAGTCGAGAATAATTCGAGTGGTTTCAGACAAAATGAAGAAACACTTTATCGTGATGCTTTATTTCTGGTTTTGTCGCACTTAACATTCTTGTCCTCATCTGTTCCGATCAGCCGGGGACCGCCGACGAGTCCGCCGACCACCATTTCCGCAAACCAGCCAACGACATCACATCTCAGCTGGAGATCAACTTCGGAGACCTGGGCCGCCCCGGCCGCGGGCGTGGGGGCGCGCGTGGAGGCAGGGGAGGCCGCGGCGGGGGAGGCAGCAGGACGGCACGTGGGGGAGGACGGTCCGAAAAGGTAACAACAAAAGCTGTTGTCGCTGCCGCCGACAAAGGTTTTAGCGTCCCCCTCCCGACAAAACATTTGGCTCGCTGACCCCGAACAGGCGGTAAAACCACTGACTTGGAAAACCTGCTGCGGAACATCGAGGCCCTGAAACAACAGACCGCTGGCCGCATGCGCCGCCATGCAACACTCGCTGACTGACAATGGAGAGGTGGACGTGTGTTATGACAGCGCTGGAGTTGGAGGATTCAGCTGATACACGCTCCTTTTCAATATTGTTTTAAATACGGCCGCCGCTAACTCAACTTTATTTATAAAGCACTTGAACACAACAAAACACAGAACAAAGTCCTGAACACAAACTATGTAACAATTTAAAACATCTAAAATGCAAAATACAATAAAAATATGATAAAATCATTAAAGGACAATAAGAACAGTTGAAACAGGAAGCTTGTGCCGGGTTGAAGGCCAGGGCATAAAAATGAGTTTTCAGACAGGTTTTAAAAATGGACAGTGATGGTGCTTCTCTAACGAGCAGCGGCAAAGGATTCGAGAGCCTAAATGAACTCTACAATGTACAGTGAAGTGATGTGGTCTCTGTTACGTGCTCCAACCAGGAGACGAGCAGCCACGTTTTGGACCACTTGGAGATGTTGGAGACTCCAAAATAAAGAGAGTCGCAGTAGTCCAGCCGGGTAGTGATATATGCATGGATTACTGTCTCGAAATATGGAGCTGTTAAAAATGGTTTTGCTAACTGTGGTTTTCATGAATAATTAGTGTGACCAGTCCGGTTAGTGTTTCCCATTAGTTACCTGGACTGGCAGCCAACCACAGCGTCATAATGAGCTGAAATGTTTAATGAAGCACATCAAGGATGCTAAATCTCAGGCCAGATTCATTATGGGATAACTTATTATCAAAATAAACTGTTGCATCATTTCCAAGCACTACCTTGCAGATAATAGGAAAAACCCTCAAAGTGTCTCAGTAATGTGTTGAGCCACGCTGTGCTGCTAAAACAGCAACGACCTGTCCCCCAAAGGAAACCAGTGGACCCAAAAATGCCATTAGTAGTGCGGGTTTATGCCTTCCAGCCTACCAAACTGTCCGTCGCTAATGTCTGCTCTTGCTGCCGCTCTGGTCAAGTCCTGTCACCTGAGGAAGAGTTGCTCTTTGTTTTTTCTTGCATATCTCACTAATGCATGAGCATCACAATCATGGAATTTGCGCCGTAGCCAACAATCTTTTACCCTTTCTGCTCATATCTCTGAGAGATCTGAAGACATAAGCCACTAAAGTCACTTTTCCTACTTAAACCAGTAGATTAGTCTTCTTGACTGAAGCTCCTGCCACCTGCACCCCAACAATGAACCATCTTTTAGAGTAAATTACATCTTTTCCTCTTAGTGTTTTCCTTGTTTTATACTGTAACACCACATTTAGGAGTAGCTCCACGTCTCTGTCGGTCCAAACAAACGACCCTTGCACCGTTATCGTTGAAGTAACAGGAAGTTTTCCTTGTGGTGTTTTTTCCAGGATTCTGACTGGCTAGCATGGCTTTATGCTTCTCGTTACACTGCCCCCTACAGGTCTGACAGCTAATAGCAGCTCTTAACGACGTTACGAGTTTTTTGAAAACAATCTGGTGCGAACAGTGTTGTTTTTGAAAACGTAGATCCGTTTTTGTAAGTAAATGTGTGAGCGTGGCCTGAGCTGTTTCTCTACAAACAGGAGCGGTGACCAAAGTGGTGCAGTTTAGGGCCAGAAAATTGAAATAATGAGCTGAGAAATGCTCCACGCAGCAGACTCGGCTGATAGTTTCAAACCTTTTTACATATAAGTTATAATATAATTCATTGTTTATGCAAATATATTGATTATAGCGGATTTAACATACGTTCTGTTAACCTGGTCCTGCTTCTCGTGTGTGTTTCCTCTCACCAGGCCAGTGGAGTGTCAGTCCCCAACGTGGATGATCCTGAAGCCTTCCCAGCTCTGGCCTAAAGGCTCCTTCTTTCACCACCAGCCCACCCATCAGCCCTTCCGGGGCCCCTCCTCTACGAGGCTTGCATGCTTACCACATCTTCAAGTATATAAGAAAAAACAAAGAGAGAGAGAAAAAAAATAATAATGACAAAAAAAGACTGTCATCCCATACCACTCACACCACCAGAGGACTAAAATTTTACCTGTTTTAAAGGAGAACAAAAGACAAAAAAAAACAACGGCGGAAAAAGGACCTCTTGTTACACTGAAGTTTTGTATTTAGGAACATGAAAGCAGGGATGTTTTCATACTTTTTTCTTTTTTTTTTTTTTTTTTTTGTTCTAAAATTATGCATACTTCATTGATATTTTTTTGTGCTGCTTGAATTTATGCATTTCTGCGATTAGGTTGAAGTGTGTGTATCTCTTCTCCCCCCCTCAA